ACTTTAAACAACAAACCTATAGCTACAATTACCTGAAAATATCGTCCCTATACTGACAACAAAAACTATTCTCATCTTCTCAAAAGTCTCTCAATCTTCTGAAAGACTGCCTCTGCTTCTGTTTGGCCATTTAATCTCTGCCTAAGCCTTTCCTCCGGCGCATGCAGACTGTAGTGTGCGTGTAGGCTGGACAGCTGCTGCCCTCTCTCTGCAGTCTGGCCTGAACCGGCTGGAGCGTTGCCAGATCCTGTCCTGTTTTCACTCTCTCTGGATGTTTCTTTACCTGATGATTACGCTGTTTCCACGAAGCCCCACTGTCACTGCACATTTTAATCACAGCATGCCGCAGCGCTGACAAGAGTCCTGCCGTCGCTATCTGAAAAGCTGGCTGGTAAAGAGGAGTTTAAGTGGCATTGAAAACATGAGATTGGGAATAAAATGTTTGTTAAAAAAAAAGACAGTAATATTCTCTCTGTATGTGTTATATATCTGATTCTAAACCATCTATTCGATTGCGGCCATACCTGCAGGTGAAAGCTAGATTATTATTGTGGAATACTGGTTTTATGGGGCAAATAAAGCATCTCTGCATATTTATACTATTTGAAAATCATTGTCAAAATCTAAAATATAGCGTCCAAAGCTACTTGTCCTATGCATGTGTCTCCAGTAGGTAGGGCTTTGGGAGTTATGGGACATATTAGCATATTCATGAGCATTTATGGACACTGGTCCTCCCACTCCTTATGGACCAAGGGTGTCTTTTTGTTGTTTGATTCTCTAATCTGCTGTTGGTGAATCCATAGCGTTGTAAAGTCCTGCTGCTGCGATTTAGAGCTCTAATAACATACATTGAATTGAAATGTAATTTGTTTGAAAATAAGTTGTGGCTCTGACCAGGTTGAAAAAAAGTTGAGAAAAACTTTATAAAAAAGTTTATAAAATATAAAATTTCTTGCTTCTCAGACCAGTACATTACTTCAATCAGTCTCAATTTCTAAATGACCTTTAAAAGCTTGTCGAGCAGGAACACTGACATTCAACATGTTACAACGATATCCTGATGAACCATAGATACATTTAACAAAATCGTTGTTACTGAGAGAATAGTGGACGTCCGGGAATCATACAGTCCATAAACACCTAACTCCCACCTATTCTCCCACCCACTGCACAGGACTGTAGAGGAGCTGAGGAGCTCCTTCAGTGGAAGACTGAGGCACCCTCAGTGTAGGAAGGAGCGCTACCGCAGGGCTTTTATCCCCGCCGCTGTCAGACTGTACAATAAGTCCCTTTAAATGATCACTGTGTGAAAACCTGCATAACTATTGACACTGTTTCCAATTGACACTTGTCACTTTTGTTGATTGTCACTTTATTGTACATATATGTCCTGCATGTAACATGTTTGCACATTTCCTCCTTTTGCACAATCTGAGTGTTCTATCCATGCCAAATGTGACATGTAAATTTCTCCTCTGTGAGATAAATAAAGCACATCTTATCTTATCTTATCTATATAAACAAGTGATTAGATTGGTGTCACAATACTACATTTCAAACTCAATATTAAGATTAGTTTCTCTTCACGTTATTTCAAATTTATCTTTCAAATTTTTAAGTAATTTGTAAAATGGTGTTTTGTTTATTTAATTTTATTTGGTCTCAGTTCTATATCTGTCTATATTTGTATAATATGCTATATATATATAGCATATATATGCTAAAGATAATCTAAGACCGGGAATCAATATACATACACACATATACACATACACATACAAATGCATTCACTCATTCATACATACATGAATACACACATAGTATATACACACACACACACACACACACACACAGGCAATCACACATACATACACAAACATATAAACATTTACATACATACGTACAAGTACAGTACACTCCGTCCATACATACATACTGAGACACTGTGCCAGTGAGCTTACTCCTGTGTTCACGGACATTTTCAACACCTCTCTGCAGTCCTGCCATGTCCCGGCCTGCTTCAAATCCTCCATCATTGTCCCCGTCCCGAAGAAGCCCAGGATCACAGGACTCAATGACTACAGACCTGTAGCACTTACGTCTGTCGTCATGAAGTCATTTGAACGCCTGGTTCTCTCCCATCTCAAGTCCCTCACCTCCCCCCTCCTGGACCCCCTGCAGTTCGCCTACAGAGCCAACAGATCTGTAGACGACGCCATTAACCTGGCCCTCCACCACATCCTACAGCACCTGGACTCCCCGGGGACCTACGCCAGGGTCCTGTTCGTGGACTTCAGCTCTGCCTTCAACACAATCCTGCCATCCCTGCTCCAGGACAAGCTCTCCCAGCTCAACGTGCCCGATTCCACCTGCAGGTGGATCACTGACTTCCTGACGGACAGGAAGCAGCGAGTGCGTCTGGGGAAGAATGTCTCAGACTCTCGGATTATAAATACAGGAGCCCCACAGGGCTGTGTTCTTTCTCCCCTGCTCTTCTCCCTGTACACCAACCACTGCACCTCCAGCACCTCCAGCCACGACTCCGTGAAGCTGATCAAGTTCGCGGACGACACCACCCTCATTGGACTCATCTCCAACAACGATGAGTCCGCCTACAGGAGGGAGGTGGACCGGCTGGTGTCCTGGTGCAGTGGTAACAACCTGGAGCTGAACGCCCAGAAGACAGTGGAGATGATTGTGGACTTCAGGAAGAGCACTGTCCCCCCGCCCCCACCCTCCGTGATGGACTCCCCCATCACCTCTGTGGAGTCCTTCCGTTTCCTGGGCACCACCATCACCCAGGACCTCAAGTGGGAGCCGACCATCAGCTCCCTCATCAAGAAGGCCCAGCAGAGGATGTACTTCCTGCGGCAGCTCAGGAAAGCCAAGCTGCCTGCACAGATGTTGGTGCAGTTCTACACGGCCATCATCGAGTCCATCCTCACCTCCTCCATCACCGTGTGGTTCGCTGGAGCCACAGTCAGGGACAAACAGAGACTACAGCGCATTGTGCGCTCTGCAGAGGAAGTGATCGGCCGCAGCCTTCCATCGCTGCAGGACCTGTACGTCGCCCGAGCTCGAGGCCGGGCTGGTCGTATCACAGCCGACCCCTCTCACCCTGCACATGGACTATTCCAACCACTCCCCTCAGGCAGGAGGCTGCGGTCCATCAGGACTAGAACCTCCCGCCACAAGAACAGTTTCTTCCCCTCTGCTGTTGGACTCTTGAACACTTCTTAACCTGTCCCCCCGCCCTTTATAAAGTCACTTTACTGCCCATCATACGTCACTTTACTTCACTGTACTGCTGTCACCTTACATTGTGTGCACCATGTGCACTTGTATATTGTAAATAGTAACTGTAACTCTATTTTAAATTTATTCTTTAGAAGTGTTTTTTATTCTCATTTTTATTATCTCTTTTTGACTGTTGCACTGAGCCAAAGCAATTTCCAAGTCTGTGACCTCCTGTTACTTACTTTGGCAATAAAAATGATTCTGATTCTGATTCTGATTCTGATACATACAAACACACACACGCACACACACACACACATACATACACACACGCACAATTACAGATTTTTTTTGACTTTCTAAGCTCTTCATAATGTGCCTTTGCCTAGGAAGTCAACACTCCACTTTTTGATACATATACACACACACGTACAAGCATATACACACACACACTCACACGCAAACATTCACACACTCTACAATACCACAATGACAAATGGAAAACAAAAGTAGATTAATAACATGAGGTATTTGTCAGTGAGTCACCTGCCACCTCCGAGTGTCAAACCATTTCTTTATGACTCACGCCCTGCCACCACTTTGTCATTCTTGTTTTTTCTGCTCTGGAACTTGAGATTTGTTTCTATTAAAAGACTAAATGGCCTGATTATGCTGTTTTAATTTATTTCTTTTCATTGCAGCTTGCCTCTGAGGTTACACGCAACTTTTCTCTTAGCCTGAATTTCAAATCGGTCTGCAGTATGAAAGAGTGATACTGTCTTTGAACATTTCTCCTTGCTTCTGCACCTCTCTTAAACATTATCATTTAAATGTGATGAAAAACAGCGCTTTCTCAGGGATAATTGGATGTGTGCCACCAAAATTTGAGTCACCCGACAATCGAAATTCAGTTTGACACAGTCTGACCAGATGCGAAAAATACAAGGTTATACACACACAGCTCCAATTCATGAGGGATCCGTCACGCTTTCCCTTTGTACAACTGTATTTTCCACTCGGTACAAGAACTCAGACTTGTTCCCAAAATGTGAGCACAAAGAATATGTGTTTTTTGTCTATTCCCGCAGGATTCGCAGAACGGAAACAAGCTAATATCATTCAGCGCCATATGACCCACCTGCCCACGACCCCCCACTCAAAAGACACAAATACAGAAATTGTGGAGGAAAATGAAGCAAAAATAACGACTTAGAACCCGTAGAACCCAGACATAAAAATATGTGTTGAAAAAAATTATCTGTGCTTTTTATGGAAAGCAGCTTTCAATGATCAAATTTTCCAATGTAGAATATTTGCTTCTTTGGGTACTTGGGTAAATATGTTGGCTAATTCCAATACATTCAACTCAATGTATTTTTGTGGAGTAGTAAATCACAATAACAAATTCATTTAACAAATTATTTTTTATTCTAAGACAATTGGTTGATAAAAAGAAAAACGTCAGATGCGTGTCGGCACCAAGGGAAATGTGGAAATACAGTTGTAAAAAGGGAAAGTGTGACGGATCCCTCATGAAATGTGAATAAGGCCCAGGGGTCGACCCTTGGGGGACACCACTGTCAGGATGCAGCTGTTTCCGCACAGAGAACATTTTCAAACAATGAACTGAATGCATTAAACCAGAAAGTCATACTTATTTTGCCAAAACCGTTGAACTTATTGTTGCATATTTGAAACCGAGGGTGCTACGGGGATGATAATAATAATAATAGAAATTAAGCGATTTGAGAAACTGTCACTCACCTCCACAGAGTGCTCTCCGTCACACTGCCGATGTGAAAGTCGTATAACTTGGTGAGAATGAGGATGACCTGTAAACAAAAAGACAAGTATTGTAAATATTGATTCATTTTAATATCAAGCATAAACAATAACCAACTTGACAATGTCATAAATTGGTCAATGCAACACCCACACGACCGCAGGACAGCAGGCAGGTACAGAGGATTGCACAGAATGAGCTCTGGAGTCCTGACAAAGAACCTTTTGACCACTTTTACCTTATTTTCTTTACTTATCTGTTGTTATTTGTGTACATGTGATTTTTATGATTGTATTTATGTAGATGCCAAGTCTCCTTTTTACTTGCAAAAATAATCTACCCATGGGTACAAATTAAGTCACCATGAACCTTGGTAGGGGAAACAGACACAGGGAGAACAAGCCACAGGGAAAACATGCAAACTCCACAAAGAAAAGCCCCGGCCTGTATGTGGAATCAAACCAAAGATCTTTTTGATGTGGCACAAGTGCTAACCACTATTTCTTGAAGAGGCCCGAGAGTAATTAAACAGGAAATCATGCAGTAATAGCTTACACTTTAAACCTGTTGTCTTATCAGAAGAACCGTCTAACCCTTAGGATTTGTGTGTGGAGAGAGAAGTCTGGGCGTATGTAGACGGCTGCCCCCAAAACCAGGCAATGGATCAAGTGGAGATAAATTGATAACAAGATAGATAATTCAGTGAGGGTTGCATGTCCTTGTGTGTCAGAACTCTATTCATTCTATTCAATCAGAAGTGGCTGCAGAAGTCTGGTTTGTGTGAAATGCCCGTCTTGTACTGTCTGAGAATGAACGTTTTCTCCACTTTGTCGTCATAACAGTTGTGACGGTTGTTCACCTCCTTCTGAATACTGCAATTTTACACAACAGATGTTTTTCTCTACATGTCCTTGTTCACTGTACTTTTGTGAGAACTTGTTTAATGTTATGTAACTAAAAATCCTTTCCTAGCGTTTTATTTCTGCGATGTTCATTCATGAAGTAGTATATTTACAAAACAAAAAAGAGAGAACACCTGGGGATAAATTTGCTGCAAAAAGAAAAACAAATGTGTTTGGTAGTTGTATATAAATAAATAAAAATCTGTGCAGCTCACTAAGTTAAGGGCTCCACTCAAATCACTGTTCATTCCGTTCTTACCACCTGCTACAGTGGTGGTAAACTACAGTAGCCACAGCTGCCCTGGGACAGATTGACGGCAACCAGCCTCTGCCATTGACCCTTCAACCATCACCGTCATTAATTCACCCTGCTGTGTTTTTGGTTGTTGGGGGAAACCAGAGCACCTGGAGGAAACCCACCCAGACACATGGAGACAATTTCTAGAGACAACTTGCCGGAGAAATACTAGAGACAAAAGAGACCCGGTTTGGCTCAGGATGGAACCACAACCTTCTTGCTGTGAGGCCATAGATTAAAGCAGGAAGTGCATCTCTCCATAAGGGCCAGAGGGACGGGCCAAATGTTCTGCACAGATGGGAAGAATTGGCGCCTCTTCCTCACCCCTGACACATCAGCGCTCCCTGCAGGCTCCTGGGGTCCGGTGCAGCGCGGTGGCCCCAAAGCCTCACGTGAACTCTGCAACCTCTGGCTCGGTCTCACTTCCCCATGAGCTCTGCCAACAAGATGGCCGCCCACCAGGGAGCTCTTCACAGACTCCACACGGACGATCCCCCACCATCGCTAATGTCCACAGCATATGGATTGTTCCGGCAGGGGCCAAACAGAGGGCAATGTGGATAATGTGGGGGACAGGGGACTCTCATCAATGACAAGTAATAACACCAGTGTCTACGGAATAACAGCTATGCTTAGGAAAGTGACAATAACAAGTTTTGCTGCAATGACATTAGACCCTACATACGTATGTTTCATTGGTCTATGTTTTATATAAGAGCAAGTAATAAGCTCAAAGCAACCCTTACCCAAGGCTCATACAGTGACACATACAAAGAAATAAATCATTCTCATATGGTTATATATTTTTTTTTTCACTTTTATATTAGATAAATGCATCAAACTCAAAAAGTGTTGAACTAATTATTAGAAATTACCGTCGGCACAATATAACATGACAATGAATAGAATTAAGTGATTTACAAATGAGATTGTTGTTATTCAATTCAAGTGAAATTCAATTCAATTTATTTTCTCAGAGGACTTTACAAAGTTATCAATTCACCAACAACACATCAGAGAATCAGTTCGAACAGAGGAAATAAAATAATAACAAACACATAGGAGCCACCAGCCCAAAGGCACAATCACCAATGTTATTAAATGTCCGTAAATGTCCCGGATCATCACGGTCCATAGACTTTTCTGCATCAACTGGGAACGACTATAATTATTGTTACAAGGGCTCCTTGTCGTCATAAAAGTCACGTTGTACCTTCTGGTTCCGCATAGCGCCCCAAAACAACTATGCATTGAACACTCAGAACTCAAGCTGTGAACCATACAAAAAGTCATGTCCTCAAAAAGCTTCAAATATATACGGAAAGACGCAGTGTCCTGAGGGCTCGGACGGTTTGATATGGAAAGCGGCAGTCATTTACAAGATGTCCTTCTCACTATAAAACAGCATCCAGGCTAAATATGAATACAAATGCAGTGCGTTCAAGAGCAAGGCACAGTCACAACAAATGTCCCGTAAGATGAGAAAGAAACACGAAACAAGCAGTGAAGTAGTCTGAAGCCATTTTTCAAAACTACTGAAAAGTTTGAGCTCAAATCGTATTCAAACAAAAGAGACAAAAGTGTGTATTGTCATCCAACCATTGATACATATTCCTCTGCTTAAATGCTCAGGGTCACAACTCCCATTAGACTTTCCACACACACCTAATTATAACTCAGCAGGAGATAAAGGGTTCGTCTTTCCAGATTATTATCATTTTTATAGCGCTTTTTACTTGGTGCACTGTGGTACTATGGTGGACTAGCCACAGCTGCCCTGGGGCAAATCTGGGTCATCTGCCCTCTGACCACCACCAGTCATTCACACATACACCAGCCTCACACTAGGGCAAATTAGGTCGAGTGTTTTGACACAATGACAGATTTGGAACATTACAGCTGCCCAACTGTGGCACCTGGTGTTCCCAGAGGTCTCCCATCACAGTACTAATCAGGTCCTTTCCTGCTTAGCTCCTGAGATCTGATGGGGTCATGCTAATCACAACAGCAGTCATCTTGGAGGACTTTACAAAGTTGTCAATTTGCCAACAACAGAGCGGAGAATCAAACAGTCCGCACCCGAAATGCAATGAGAGACCTACAACAAAAAAAACAAAAAAGAATTTCTAATTAGATAAAGATGGTATTTTTCTTATCATTGGCATGTGTAGGGACATACGCTTTGTCCATGAACACAATGAAAGTTTTTTTGACATTTACAAAACAAAACAACACCCGGACTGAAAAATAACACGGGGGATGCAAATTTGTTGCAAACAGAAAAAAACAAATGATTTAACTTGTATTTGGTAGTTATTAATCTAAAATAAATCAGTGTGGCTCTCCAAATTAAGGGCTACACTGAAATCACTATTCTCTCCTCACACTGTGGTGGTAAACTACTACAGTAGCCACAGCTGCCCTGGGACAGACTGACGCCAACCAGTCTGTGCCATCGACCCCTCTGACCACCACCATCATTCACTCACCCTGCACTTTCTTACTGCGTTTTGGGTGATGGGTGGAAAACAACTTTGGTATAATTTTTTTTTTTTAAAACACAAATAGTCTCCTAAGCCAAGGTAGTTTTTTCTCTCTCCTCAAAACAAAAAGGCAAAATGAGACACATCATGCAGTATTCATAAAATCCCGTTGACGACTCTCCGGCTCCGGCAGGGAGTAGCAGGGGTCTCACGTTCCTATTTCATGCTTTGCTCTCTCTTTCCGAATCACCAACAGACTGGTAATTAATACATCAAAATGTCACTCACTTTGTGCTTGCATTAGCCTTGTTGTCTCAGCAATTACCCGACTGTGAAGAAACATGTTATTATCATCTCTGAATGTCCCCATGTCGCCACGCCGAGTCAAAAGTGCCAAAAACAATTTTCTATGGTGGATGCAGGCTAATGACAGAGCTAATAACTTCAGGGAGCAAGTTACTGTTGATGAATATACAATGAATATACAGACCCTCGTGCTGCCAACATGTACGCACGGCCAAAAGTGTCACAAAATAAGTCACACATTTCTGAAATATGGAAAAATGTTTGGGTATTTTTTTTTTTTTTTTTTGACCACATGTCGACTGCCTCAAAACAAGAAGTGCCAATGGGACAAAATTATCTTGCTTTAGGTGCAATAAATGTTTCCCTGGGAATGAGAAAATAAACAGTTCTTGAAACATGACTAAAAGGCTGTTTCCTATTGACACACCCCGGTCAGAACGGGGTCTTTCTGAGTGGAGTTTGCATGTTCTCCCCATGCTTGCGTAGGTTTCCTCCAGGTACTCCGGTTTCCCCTATATCTAAAAATATGCACACTAGGTTAATCCTCCAGCTGCGGTAATCCTGACCAAGCAGAGCATCAACATCTGGAGATGGGTTCCCGGGCCCTGTTACTACGGCGACCACTGCTCCTGACGTAAGCCTTTGCGGCACCAGGATGGGTCAAATGCAGAGGGTGAATTGCTCTACGGGGATCAATAAAGTGCATCTCCTCCTTTACCTTTATTAAATTATACTTAAATTAGGGTAAAAACAACTCAATTCAAGCCTTCATGACCTCATATTTTATTGTTTTTTTGCAGTAGAAATGTATACATACAACTATTGGAATAGAATATACAGTATTTTCAACTTGCTTCTTTATTATGCTAAAGTATATTACAATTGCTTCATAATTACTCTAAAGCTGGAGATTTTACACTTGCTTCTTTATTATGCTATAGGTAGAGTTTATATACGCACTTCTTCATTAGGATAAAGTTTGAGATTATATACTTTCTTGCGTCTTTAATACGCTAAATTTAGTTTTGTTTTTGTTTTAGCACATAGTTATTGTTCACTTTTCTACAGCTGTGTTCATTCCTACTGTTCTGCAACTGGTGATACAACACTGACATTTCCCCTCTGTGGGAGGAATAAACTATCTCCTAATCTTAATCATAATTATTTGTGCTGCCATTGTAAGCAACAGAGAGCCACAAACTCGGACTTTGCTTTGGCTCACATGAGTAAAACTCAGAGACTGTTTTATATAAGATCAAATTTGAGTGCCAATATTGTACACAATTGGTGGTGTCTTGACTGCAATGCCTTTAATGACCATCATCACATTATTTTGTTTTGTTATCATGATAGTTATTGTGTGGGTCTAATGGGTTTATACAACTGCAGGCTATTGGCTACAATTCCCAGTCAAGGGAAGTCAATTCTACAACACTGCACCCGGGTTGGTTTGAAAAGAAGGCAATCTCGAGAAAATGATGAGTGACTACCAGCAAAACAAGGTGATTCATGAAAAAAAAGGGAAATATGTTGAATCGCAGAGGCTTAAATTGCATCCTACTTTGTTTATTTGCTGTATTGTTAGCATTCTGGTTGTTGTCTGCAATCACACGGCAAATACTCTAAATACTGCTTAGGGAGTTACAGAATAATAATGTTGATTACACATTGAGAAACAGTGTTTGATGAAAGTGGTTTTGTGTTTTAAGTCTGTAAATCTTAAACCACATAAAATCTTAGCCTCAGTGTCAATGTTGTATCGTTGTTGTGGATTTGTGATTGTGGCACAGAAAATCCATTTGTGTATATGCAAACTTCGGCTAAATAAAAATGTAATCAATTTGGAGGTGTGATACACTTAAATCAGTATTTACTTCATTTTTCACCTCAGTTTTTGCTTATTAAGTTGCCTTTACTTTAGTTGTTCTATCACTGTCTGGCTGTCTAAATAATAAATATTTATTATTTAGGTTCTCTATGCTATCACCACAGGATGTTGTCCATTGTTGTCCATGTTGTCCATTTTTTTCAAATGTGAAAATTACCGGCTGCAAATACTGTCATGTGATTGTAAATAACATGATTTATTTTGATAAGTAGCTCCCATTAATCAGGGTAAAATGCATGAAATTGCTCTTAGTGTGATGTCATAGTGAGACAATTACATAAAAAGTTAAATAAAGTATAGAAACAGGAATAGTCACAAACAACACAAGACCAAAAACTGTCAAATTGACTGCTCTTGGAGTTCTAGTGTTGAGAATAAATCAGGCAAGGTCAGATTCCAGTGCCATAGGTGTATTTATTGTCCATTCCCAAAGTGCAAAAATGTGAAAACAATAACAAAGCTCATACAATGAATGAACAGTAGGAAATAAAACAAAAAAACAAAAGTTTGCACTCACTCATAGGTCACCTTTAAATGACCATGTTACCTCCTGTGTATGACTGTAACCATGTTTATCTTTCCTTCACACTGGAATAGATTGATGTGCAACTCACGCAACTGTGGCGCGTATAGCTTTGTAGTTGTACATTCTCTTTTTGCTTCTTTGAAATACTGAAAGACCGTTGTGCAACTTATCAAAGCAAAACAAAAGATCTCAAAGCTTTCCATTCATAACACACCGTAGCACACACCAACTTTTTGACATTTTTTGGTATTTTGAGTTTCAAAGACGTCATCTGCAGCTCAGAACAAAACAAGACAAGACATGTAGTTTCTTAATTAATACGAGTGGGGTATGGAGTAAAGAGAATCCGCTCGCAAAAGTAAAAAAAAAAAGCTAAATTTCACTTTTACTTTGAATGCTCTACTGAAGGATTGTCAAAACGGCTGCTGGATGTGATCTCTATCTAAAAGTGATTAAGTCTGGTCTCGCTTACATGTCAACAGCAGGGCAATTACTGTGTCGGGGAGAGAGCTCTTTATGAGACACCGTGTCAATGGAGTTACACAGTCGTCAATACAAAAGCACTTAAGCCGTTTGACCTCCATAAAAACGCTGCCCGCCTGTTGTGATTTTGATATATTGAGACGAACGCAAACGCCGGATAAAAGCAGCAACACAAATGTTCAGATTCAGATTCATTTGTTTACCATTTGCAGTAAAACCTCATTGGAATACAATTGCAAAAGTCCCCAGTACGCAAATCTCCCTGATAAGTATAGGCATGGTTCAGGTTCGCAAAATGCATGTGGAGAAGGAAAGACAATTAAAAAATGTGTATTGCCCGTGGTAAGAGCGGAAGGTGAGTGTGTGTGTGGAGGCAAGTGGGTGTCTATGTTGATGTATGCGTGTGTGTACTTATGCAGGGGTTTTTTTTTCACCTCACTAGTTCATTGTTAGTATTTTTATTAATATTATCCAAACTTGTATTTCATTGTATATATATTTTGTTTCTATTCTTATATATTATTTCGTATTTTATTGTTGTT